TATGACTTCCCATTCGGTATTTTCATTATGTGGTTCATGGGGCTGTTTCTTTTCATGGAAGATACTTTGCAAATTTTTTCTCACTTCATCCATTTGCAGTGAAGAGATGGTGGGTTCATAATTACCATCAATGAGGAGTCTCAAGTCTTTCTCTAGATTTTCCCAATTATGATCTGCTTCAAGTCTGGTGAGGACACATGCAACTTCTTTAGACAAAGATTGGCCCATGTGATGTCTTATTAATGCCAAACGTTGTGTTTTCTCCTCTGGAGAAACCTCTGTAACTCCAACAGTAGCTGTAAGAACTGTGATTGCCTGAGCCCTGTGGGTGCAAACATTTTTGAGTTCCTGGTATTGAACTTGGGCAGTTTGCATTTTATCCAGTAGGAAGTCTAACTCAGCACACCCCAGGAGATACTGAAAAGTATTGTTTACCACATGATATCCTGCACCAGCTGCAATGGAAAGTAGCAAGAGCTGTATGTCTGGCTGCTCTGTTTTTTGGAGGTAATTCAAGAAGCAGCCAAGAGACAAGCTGACCTCATAAGTGACCTTTCTTTGAGCTTCCTCCACTATTTCTGTAGATTCAGATTTGGCCTTAACTCCCATGAGGTAATTCTGGGTTTCCTTTAAGAGTTTAATTAATTCAGAAAATTGAGAGATGTTGGTGTGCTCTTGCTCTGTCTCTGACTGGAAGATCCACCGCATGATGGAATGAGCCTGAGGAAAGTTTGTCACTTTATAGATGTGAGGATCCAAAAGGCTACTCAACTGAGATTTGATAAATTTAGTTTTATAAATGGAAGACTCTTTGCAAAAGTTGACAGTGTTTACCAGAAAATTCTGCAGACTCCGATCTGTGAGGCATATGTTAACCCAAGTGTCATAGCTTTGTATTTTTTGATTCAACATTTGCTTGAAATTCATCAGTGTTTTAAGTTGCTCTTCAGGATTAGATACCTCCCAGGATTTCACATCTTTTAGGAAAACTCTAGCCTCCTTTCTAGCACTCAGTAATTCTTCTCCAGCCAGA